AACGAACGAACGAACGAACGAACACCAACATAGGTACCTATGGTAGGTACCTAGTACCTAGTAATTCCTAGTCCTCAAAAGATACCTACCTATCCAAATTCCAAACAAATTCCAAACAAAAAGAAAAGAGCCATGGAAGCTGAGCTGCCAGCGCCACAAATGACTTCGTCTTTCCACTTTCCACTTTCCTCTTTTCACTTCTCCAAATGTTACAATGTTCTTGGGGAATTCTCACCACCTCCAAGCCCCCGGTACTTCCTCTCCCAAGTCTTCCCCAACACCAACCCCAACACCCAACCGCAATCTCTTTTCTTCCCTCTCCGGCGTCGTCGGCACAGTCGGCACCAAAGACTCAAAACCCCCGGTAGTACAAGTCGAACTAGCATTCGACACGGCCTTGATACGCACCATTCTTGTTCTTCTCCTCCTTTCCCCTTCAGCTTGTTCCCCTTCTGCCTTTCCCCTTGCCTGTCCTTGCTCTTGTTGATGGTCGCGATCCACCTCCTCGCAGCAGCAGCAGCAATCACAATCTGAGCTTTCTGCACTGCTTGACCTGAAGCTGAGACTGGGTTCCGATCCACCCCAGCTTGGACTTCCGCTTGCGCTTCCACTTCCTGTTAAGCTTCCTGTGAGGCTTGTGGTCATGCTCCTCCTGGTGGAAGCTGGAGAGGAGGTGCGGCTTGATGTGGTAGTCTTTGTCTGAGATTCGGAGGCGTGTTCGACGTCGTGCTCGGCCATGAGCTTGGCTTCCTCTTGAGGACCGTCTTGAGTAACTTGGTGTTGAGGCCGGTGTTGGTCTTGGTCCTGGGTTTGGTGACCTTGGGCTTGGTGATCCTGGGCTTGGTGTTGTTGGTGTTGAGCTTGGTGATGACCTTGGTGAACGTGGGCATGACCATGACCATGACCATGACTAGAGGTATAACCATCATCCCCCAACCCCGGGACGACAACGTCGACATTGACATTGACGACAGGAGTAACATCGACGTTGACGACGGGGGCGACTGAAACGACAGAAACACCCGGAGCAACCGGGGCGTCAGTCGCAACAGACACCACCCCATGAGCCTCAACCGCTCCAGCAGCAGCAACATCGACACCAGCAGCATCAGCACCAGCAGAAGCAGAACTCGCAACAGTCTGCCAAGGAATCTCCTCCTCCTTCTGCCTGACCCCTCCCTCCACCATCCACCGTTCCGTCCGTTCCCTCTCCTCCCTACTCTCCTCCTTCTCGCACTCCTCCCTCTCAACAGCCTCATCGTGCATCTCTTTCATCTTCCTCACCTTGTGTTTGTCCCTAGGCACCGCGTCAAATGGGAACCTGCACGGCTTGGCAATCAGGAGGGGCGTGTAATCGTTCCAGTGTACGGGAAGTGGTTGGCCGGTGACAGGGTCAGTCTTCTTGGTGATGGTCAAGGCCCAGGCCATGCCGCCCATTGTGAGAAAGAGGTCTTGCTCGACAATGGGCACGCCCTGGCAGGTTCGGCGGCCGAAACCAAACTGGGAGAAGCCCGAGAGGTTGGGGTAGGTTGTGAGCGGTTCGCGGTAGGTTTGGGGGAAGGAGGGGAGGAGGAAGCGGGAGGGGTTGAAGGTTTCGGCGTCTGGGTAAGTGGTTTCGTCGCGGGTTATGGCCCTGGTTGGTGTTAGTATGTATGTGCTGTGAGGAGGGATGGTGGGGAAAAGGAGGAAGAAAAGGAGGAGGAAGGTGAGTAAGGTATGAGAAAGGAAGAAGAGTGAGTGAGTGATTGGAAGAGAGGGGGAAGACTTGACTTACCACTCAAGAGCATGAATCGTAGCTCCAGCAGGGATGAAGTATCCCTCATAGACATCATCTTTCTCAATAGCATGCGGAATCCCTGTGTAGGTATCATCACCATCAATCAGTCAGCATCTTCTGTCGCTCTCCTCACCATCTTCCTTCCCTCTTCCATCTCCACCAACTCAACTCACTCATCACCATCAATCACCCCAACACCCCATCACCCCAACACCCCCGGATCAAAGAAAAAGAGAAAAAGGGGCAGAAAACCCACCAGTAGGGACAGGAGGCCTCCACCTAATAACCTCCTTAACAACCGCCCTCAACAACGGCAACTGTTCCCGATCCTCCCACATCGGACATCTCCCCGCGAGCTTCACATCGATCTCCTCCTGCAACCTGGCCTGCCACTCCGGATAATGGCACATGGCCAGTATGTAAGTCTGAATCGGGGATCCAATGGTCAACGCGCCAGCGATGGCCATGAGTCCGACAACGTGCATCGCTTCATCTGCCTCCTTCATCTTTTTTTCTTCTTCCTCCTCTTCGCCGGCGGACGCACCCTTGGTGCTGCCACCCTGTTGTTGTTGTTGTTCTTCCAAAAAGGTGCGAATAAACGAAGGCTCGGCGCGCCCGAGGTCCATCATTCTCCTCACGAAGCCGATGTTGGACCGGAATTGTTTGTCCTCGAGGTCGTGCCGCGCTTTTTCTTTCTGTCTCCAGGGGGAGAGGGTCAAGGGCAGGTGGCGGAGGAAGGAGATCACGTTGGGAAGGGCGCCCGAGGGAGAGATGGTTTCGAGCAGACCGAAGGTGGTGTGGCGCAGGATTTGCGCCGGGTGGGCAGAGCCCCATGACAGACGCGAGACGGTGCGCGAGGTGAATTGCTCAATGTACTCGATGTAATCTTTGGGGGACTGGGAGAGGAGATACAAGAAGCGGTTGCGCTCCAGGGTCGGGTAGTCGTGCAGGGAGGCGAGGGCGGAGGCGTGCATGAGGTGGTTGCAGAGTTTTCGTTGGCGTTTCCAGATGTCTTTTTCATTTTCAGTCTTCATCAGTACATGGGCTTTTCCTTCAGTGACAGGTGCGAGGATAAAGGAGGGCTCACCATTCCTTCCCAACAAAGCCAAATAATCACCACTAGTCCGATTATCAGGTAAATTCGGAATCAGCGGCCTATCCGAGTAAATATTGGCCCTCCGTGAAAGCAAATCATGCGCAATCTTTTCCGACGAGATCCAGACGTGTGTGACGCCAAACATCTTGGTCTGGTAGATGGGGCCGTACACCTTGCTCCATTCGTAGAACTTGAGCCACGATCCCTTTTCTGGTACGTCGTGGACGCGGCCTATGAAGGGGAGGTCTTTTTGAGGTAAAGAAGAAGAAGCAGTGGTTAGCTGCGCGAGTTTTGGTTTTGGGTTATGTATAGAGGTAGTTTGGAGATAAAAGGAGACATGGAGGTTTTGGTGGTTCAAGTGAAGACGGACATGTTTTATGAAGACGAAAGGGGATGAGGCAAAGAACTCACTAGTAGGCCCAGGCAAAGGCCTCACACCAGCCGGTAACCTCTTTCTCTCCAACCATCGCTGTATCACCAATAAGACCACCAACACGGTGAGAAGTGTTATTGGAAGGCCAGACGACATATCTGTCTGTATCTGTTTTCTGTATCACGGTTACCTCTCCTCTCGCTGTCTTGTCCTCCGCCACTCTCGGAGTGGACTCTTGGGGGAGTGGGTTCGCCGCCGGCGCAGGTGGGAGAGAATACCACCCAGTCAAAGCTGGACGGGTAACAGGGGGGTTAAATTTCAACTCCTGAAAGGCCCGGGTATGGACAGGAGGTGTAGAGCAAATGGATGTGAAAGTAGGTGAGATGCAAAAACGGTCAGACACAAGGGGTCTGGGTCTGTCTGTCCGCCTCAAGACTGGCTGTCTGGTCTTGTTAGGACCTGTGCTTTGCTTGGCTTGGCTGGGTCGAGGTATCTGAGATGAGAGTTGGGTTTCCTTCTGTGTATATGGTCTGGCTCTCAGAAAATGGACACGTCCGTTTCGCAGACGCAGACGCACTGGTAGAGTGAGTACCTAGTACGGTTGGTACGATATGCGTTCTTCGGAGCTGGTATATAAAGGGTAGGTAGGTAGGTAGGTAGGTACGAGGACCTGGAGGAGTGGGCAGAAACAAAAGGTGTAGTGTATGTTGTATAAAAGTCCGTCTGACCTAAAGAGGGGATGGATGGGCAAGTCAGCGTGCGGGTTTGGTAAAATGTTTGATTTGTAAGTCAAAAGTTCTGGGGGTAAGCTCTTCTCCAAGATGAGCAAGGGGGAACGACAAGGTCATAATTATGTGAGATCCGATCTTACAATGGAACAAATGGTGATTTCTTCGGGAACAGTTTCCCCTCTTTCTTTCTTTCTTGGCTGATCTGTCTTCCGCTCACTTTTAGGGAACAGAGTATATCAAGGATGGCCCGGCACAGATAAGGCTTTCATCGAACCCCTGACTCTCCTTCTTGATACCTACCTTACTATGATCTCAGATATCGTGGCTGACCTGACTTTCTCAGCCGGCGATAGATGCGATTTTGGTGTGGCTCACTCATTGTGACTAACACGAAGGGAAGAGTTGAATCAACAATGTGACTCTAATGTTGACTTTGTTACAATCGACATTGGGGAAGACCCGTGATTATTGAAGAGCGACATCATGATTTTGTCAATGAGGGCAATGATCTGTAAGGGGGGCAGAGGTGTAGTGGCTCTGTCGAAGATCCTCCTTCAAGGCGTTGTAATGACTTCCTCCATTATTACGCGTGTCAATCCCGGCGAACCAGAAAGTTGAGGGACATGGACATGGCTAGCGGGTCTGGTGTGTATGTAGGTAGATGTTGATGTTGATGGAGGACCAGTGTCATTGGATGCAGGCCAACTGTCTGGCCATGTAACCTCGATGCTCGAAGGGTTGCCGTTTGAGGCTGCGAGCCGTCATCCTCCCTGCGAGTTGATAAGAGACTAGCATTATCTTTAGCGTGGCCCACTCGACCTCCAATGATGGAGTGGCAGGACTGTATTGGATGTTGTTGTATAAACTCGCCACGGCACGGCCAATGGCCTGACCCTTCGTCCACCAACGACAGCAACGAAATCCCAACACACAATATCTCTGCAATACTCGATTGCCGCGCCTAATCTTCGATTGCTGAGCCTCAGGCCCGATGGTGCCACTATGAGCCAGGTTGAATGAGTCCCATGGTCGAGAGAAGAATAAAGGAAGCTAAGGACGCCTTCTTGTCGAAGGATCAGGAATTGGTGGTCATCCCCGGAGATGATTGACGATGTTTCGGGACCGCATGAACCAACGCGGCTCCGACGTAGGTTGCTGTGAGTTTGAAAGTTCTCGATGTTGGAGAGGTTGGAGAATATTGGGACGATGATGTGATGGCATGTAAGTCAACCAGTGACTTCCCTAGGTAGGTCATGCGCTGCAAATGGTGGAGAGAATGGTGGATCGGATGCATTTCGTTGTGACGCCAGCTCTCTTCTCGAGTCTCGAATCTCCGTCGTTGCCAAGTCAATATTGATCGACTTCAGGGATGACTTTCAACACGTTGTCCGGTCACAGAATTGGGTAGGATTGACCGCTTCTAGTGTATGGTAGCGGCCGTCGTCTTCGCAAAAGCTATGGGGAAGTTCGCCTGAATATGAAGATCTGGTTCAAGGTTCATGGAAGTGTCGATCCCCGGTTGACTTTGCTCGCCATGTTGCATCATAAAGTACCTCTATGCTTGCAAACCTGGGAGTTGAAGACTTTGGAGACCGATAGACCGAGCCGGCGAACCGCCCCGGTCAGCCAGTCTCCCGTCGGCTGCTAGCAGAACTTCGAAACTTCTCATTGGTCTCCCCCCCCCAAAGGTCAGTGGCTTCGATGGAAGTGTAGAACTAGTGTCGATATGTTCTCTGCATCGAATCGGGTATCGAGTGAGAACTGAAGTGACAGACATCGCAGTAGTTTTAGCCCCGAACAGATCCTGGAGATAAGATCAGGGGTGCTTTGCCGAAGCTACACTAAAGCTGTGGAGCGAAAGCAACTAACCTTCAAGCTTACAGCAACTCACAAAAGGAAACGCACTTCTGTCCTCTGCAAATGTCAAAATTGCGACCCTTTCTGCGTTAGCGTGGTCAAGAGCAAATGGCCAGGCCCGAGTCTCAAGGGTGATATAAGTGACTTCAACCTCGAATCATTCACAGATCCCAAAAAATAAGAAACTTTGGTAGAAGCGCGTACATTCTACCTATTCTATCCAACCGTTAAACGCCGTGGAACATCCCAGAACCAAAGCTGAAGCGAAAATCCTTTCCGAAAAAAGCAACGATAAGGAAGAAGAAGAAGAACACGGAAAAGGGAAAATGGAGCACGGATACTGTCAGCGGGTGTCTGTCAATGTTGCGTTTTCACACTTCGCAGGCAGTGGTGGCAGTTAAGCGGCATGGCGTTGTATCTGCGGCACCTCGGGGGTCAGCGCCGTGCCGTCAAGGGGTGGTGAGGGTGGGTGTCATTGCCGAAGCATGCATGGCGGCTCCACTTAGCCCGCGACCCTCCTCCGTATGCCGGCCGGTCTTCGGTCCCGGAGCTTATGGCGACACTGACTGACACTAGCTTGGCTGAGATCCCGTTGAACATGAACCATGGTTGAGAAGTTGGCTGATGGGACGGGAGCTGACACCCAGCGGGCGATGGAGATTGGTATGGCCCGGTGAATCCAATATTCGATGGTGATCACTCTCGACTCGGTCTCGGTGTCTCCCACACATCGTCGATAATGGAGCTTCCATGGGAGCAAACCTGTTCATCATCATCAGCATAATCACCACAAAACACAACGAACGTATCACAACACCAAACACCAAAAAAGAACATCGATCGACCCGCATGCTTGCTTGAACTTTTTTTTTTTTCATTTCATGCCGACCATACTCCAACAATTTGAGCTTTCCTCCTCCTCTGTCCAAACGTCCTTTTCCTTTTCCTTTTCACTTCCTTTCTTTCTCGCCTTCTCTTTACCGCCCGCTTCGTCATCATGCTTTAGGCCGGCAGTGTCGGTCACGCTGCGAGGGTCCGACCGCAAGCCCGCTATTGCTTGCTACTGCTTTTGCTTTTGATTCTGCTTCTACTTCTGCCTCTGCATCATGTTGCAAGCGCAGAAGCAAGCAAATGCAAGGTGGGCTGAGCTCAGCTGAGCTGCATTCCCACATTCCACCACCAAACATTCTCCGCATCTCTTCGTGGTTGTCAAGACACTGAATTGGCGAGTGTGATGGTTGTTGGTGTTGGCGGGGATGATTTATCGGTCGGGCAACTCATCGCTCTCCTTCGTTCATTTGATTGGAACAGATTTCCTTTTTTCGTTCGGGGTATATAGACTTTTGAAATATCGATCCGTGTGAAGACAGGTACCTAGTGTAATATCGACGTCTTTACACAGACCAAAGGTTGAGTTGCTTATCGCATACATTTCACATACTATAAAACGTCCAAGTCAGCTTATCAATCTTCCAATCTATGCAAACCGATGCAACAATCAGTCAGGAGCAACATCAGAAACCACATACCGCTCGACAGGGCTCAAGCCAATAAGGCGCATGCCGTTAGCAAGAACAGTCTGCACAGCAGTGTACAGGGCCAGACGGGCCTTCATCAACTCGGGCTCGCTACCGACGACCTGGAGCTGGTCGTAGGAGCTGCTGAGGGCGTGCGTCAACTTGAACAGGTAAGTAAGGACGGTGGTGGGCTCGAGGGTCTTGAGCGTGTTCTTGACGACATCGGGCCAGCCGGCCATGTGGCGGCACAGGTTGATGGCGCTGGTCTCGGTAAGGAGAGACAGGTCGGCGGTGGCGAGCTCCTCGTCGGACACGCCAGCCTTGCGCCTGATCGAGTTAAGACGAGCGTGGGCGTACTGCAGGTACGGCCCGGTGTCACCCTCGAACGAGGTCATGGTCTCCATGTTGAAGGTGTAGTTGTTGATTCTGTTGTGAGGTAATGTTAGCTTGGTGGCTTCTTATAAGAGGACGAAAGACCCTTCTTACCTCTTGCCAGACATATCCTGGACCATGACGGACGAGATACCGAGAACGTCGGCGGTGGCCAGGGGGTCCTCAATCTGAGAGTACTTGTTCTCGTTCTTCTTCATGACCTCGTGCATCTTGTCGGCAACGTCACGGAGGATGTCGTCAAGGAACTTGACGGTGCCCTTGCGGGTGGACATACCAAGGACGAGACCGAAGTTGATGTGCTGGCACTTGTCGGCAATATCCTTGTAGCCGAGGAGCTCGATGATCTTGAAGAGCTGCCTCAAGTGGAGATCCTGAGCGGAGGCGACGACGTAGATCATCTTGTCGAAGTGATACTTCTCGTGACGGCCGAGGAGCTCAGAGATATCACGGGTGAGGTAGAGGGCGGTGCCATCCCTCTTCCTGACGAGAGGCTTCTCGAGACGCTTGCCCTCCTTGCCGGGAATGAGCTCGGAGAAGTCAATGAGCTGGGCGCCCTTGTCCTCCTTGCAGATCTTCTTGTCCTCCATGAGCTTGCCAACCTCGTTCATGGCATCCTCGGTGACCTGGGATTCGCCGGAGTACTCGTCGAAGTGGATGTTGAGGCGGGCGTAGGTGTCCTTGTAACGAACAATGGAGAGATCACGGAAGCGCTTCCACATGGCGAGGGCATCGGCGTCGCGGTCGGTCATCTTCTTGAAGTAGCGGCGGGCCTGCTCGTCCAAGCTGTTGGCCTCGAGGGCAGAAACATCCTCGCCGGCCTCCTTGCGCTTGGTGAACTCCTCCTTCTCGGCGGTCATCTCGGTGTTGATGCGGACGTAGAGCTGGAAGAGGTGGTTGATGGGGTCCTCTGGAGGGCCTCCTCGTCGCCGTACTTCTCGTAGGCGAGGGCCAAGAGACCGTACTGCTTACCCCAGTCGCCGAGGTAGTTGATGCGGATGACATCCCAGCCGGCGCCGGCGTAAAGGTTGGAGAGGAAACCACCGATGATGGTGGAACGGAGATGGCCAGCGTGGAAGGGCTTGGCAATGTTGGGGGAGGAGAACTCGACGATGATGCGCTTCTGGCCCTTGCTGGGGTCCTGGGGTCCTTGAGACCGTCGGCCTTGTTGAAACCGTACTCGGCGCCCTTGGCGTGGACCAAGGGAATGACGGCGTTGACGAGGGGAGAGGCCTTGATGAAGAAGCTGAGATGGACCTGGCTGACGGTGGGCTTGGAGAAGAGGGGATCGGTGTCGGGGAACTATGGAGTAGAGAAAGAGTGTTAGCTGGTGTTGCAAAGCGCAAACGGAACGTCAATCATCGCATCGCATATCTGGATAACATGTACCTTGGCAGCCCACTCCTCGGCGAGCTCGTTAGGCTTCTTGCCCTTTACCCTGAGGGCGGGGACGGGGAGGGCCATGTCGCCCTTCTCGAGACCGGAAGTCCATCCCAGGTTGGGGTAGATGAGCGAAGTGTCGACGCCCGTGACCTCGGAGAGAACGTTGGACAGATGGGCGCGGTAGAGGTCCATAAGGTTCAACTCGGGGTAGTTCTCGGGGAACTTGGCCTTGATGGCGTCGAGGCTGAGGCCGTCGACCTGCTTGACCAACTGGTCAATGGGAGCGGCGGTGGTCATTGTGCTGTTTTTGCGGTTGAACAAGAGTGGTGACGACCGTCCGGCGGGTGGTGTTGAAGAAAGGGTGTCGGCGATGGTGGTGTAAGAGAGAGTCCCGATTTTGGTGGAGGAGGGGCAGTTCTTCTTGAGACGGTACAAGTGGGGGCGGCCCGAGCAAACAATGGAGGTCGTCCTGGCAAAGGGAGCAGCAGCAGACTTGGAGGAGAGACAAGTAGTGGGAGCACGCAAAACACCGCGCGAAAAGAGTGCTTGACAAGCCGTCATGAGCAATGATTAAGGTATCCTTTTAACTAGGTAGAATCATCCCAATCCAGCAATCGGGCATATGAGTCGTTCCTTCTACAAGCATCAGCTGTAAGCTTCGAACTTTTAGTGACTCAAAATTTCTTTGCGCGCCTCGCTCCGGATCTGGCAAAATTTCAATCGGGCTTGCGCACAGTCCACAATAAACGCTTAGGGTAATTTAAGCCAATAAGAAGGCCAGTTTTTGCTCGCTTAGGAACGAGGAGGCTCGTGCAGGGCTAAGGGAATAGGGCTCGGTCTAGGCAGTTCTCTCTAGTTCTCTCCACGCGGGTAGGGCGACCATCCCGCTGCGGGGCAGTGACAAAGTGAGAGCTTCAGGCCCTGGTGGCCATCGAGGTCCTCAATCCTCATTCATCAAACCCGATGCTATCCTTATTTCATGTGACTCGATCGTATTAACCACAACGACGACTAGAGAGAAATATCAAGCTCCCCGGATGGGGCATTGTCAGCCTGACCTAATCAGTAGTCCCAGTGATTTCCCTCAACTTGAACATCAACATGGTATATTCAGTCTCGGAACTCTTAGTCCGCTTAGTTCCTGTCCTTTTCTCCTGGTAGCATCGTCATCATCATCATCATCATCATCACCACCATATCTCACCCAATCCAATCTCTAATAGTAGTCATAAAGCATCGACTTTACTCTACTCTACCCAAACAAACAAACCAACAAACACAAACAATCTTTACTTGTAAGAACGGTATCAAATCAAAACGAATACTCCTCCACAAAAAGCCCGATCCCCTGCGCCCCCGTGCCCTTGTGTACCGCCCTCTCATCCGCCAACCCCGCCACGCAATTCCTCACCTTGGCAACCAAACTCGGTCCTCCACAAACCACCACCTTGGTCTCTCCGCCCGTTGCCTCTACCGGCACCCTTATAAACGCCGCGATGTCCGGTCTAGTGCTTGAGTGGTGCACGTGTGAATCGGTGCTGCTAGCATTGCTGAGTGGTCGACGACGGGGTGTGAGGGTGAGGACTTTATCCTCTACGTCTCGGCCGTTGGTGGTGGTCGGGGTTGATCTCTTCGTCTGGGCTGTTGGGTTGGAGCTGTCATCAACGGATGCTGATCTCGATGACGATTTGCCTTCTGTCCTTTCCCGTTCTCTTGTTGTTGGGAGGCTGGAAGTAGGCGGGATGGTGGAACTGCTTCTTTGGGTAATGGCAACATGCACCAGCAACTCAATGCCGGCCGCCTTGGCGCGATCGAGAAACTCGTGGAGACGCTTGACATAAAAGTCGACTTCTTCACCTTGTTTCGTGGTAAGAAGGAAGTCGATGCGCTTGATGCAATTGGTGGACGCGTTGGCGAGGAGGTCTTCGAGGATAGGTAGAGTGAACGAGGCGCCGGTGGAGGCGGAGATGAGGATGACGGTTTCGTAAATGTCGAGACGGGGCGGCATGCCATAGGGCCCAGAGACGAAGACGGTATAATTCCCCTTTTTGCCTTCGGCGTGATCCTTCACTGCACGATCATGTAGTCGTTTTGAGAAGCCGCCGTGTTTGCGGACGACGAGCTGGATGCTATTGCAGATGCACGTCTCCGGGAGCTGGTGCGCGCAAGCGATGGTGTATGGATGCGCTTCCATGGGTCCGATGGCCGGCAGCCAGAGGTAAAGATGTTGTCCCGCCTTCCACCTGAAATGAACATCCTTGATGTTGATGACCGTGATCGAGTCCCCAACGGCCCTGATCTGGGCAAAGTGGCCGACCTGCTGACCTCCCTTGCATTTTGACCTGTTGGGGCTGAACTTGACGTTCTGCCACACCAACAAGACCGACCGGCAAGCGCGATCAAAGCAAAGTGCCCCGATCGAGAACCAAACATTCCACCTTGCCTCCGCTGGAATATGGCGATAAACCAACCAGATGAACAAAACAGCACTAACCAAGTGCTGCAGCACAAAGAACTCATACCCAAGCCTCCTCAGCGGCGCAAACCCCGAAATCAACGACCAACCCAACACCGCCCAGGCGCCAAACCCGTACTTGACCGTGCCCATCATCTTCATCTGATACTCCACGATGTCGGCCCGCTGCCACTCGACAAAGAAATACCAGCCATGTACCGCGCCCGTCACAAACATGGTCCTGCCAACCCATCGATGTAACCAGTTCAGCCTTTCGTGGCTCGTTCCCGCGATCAACCCGATAATGCTGCACTTGCTCGCCAGCAGATACAAAAGAGGCATCTGCATTACGGTGATCCAGGCGTTGCGGAACCCGATACGTTCCCAGAAAAAGGCGTCCTTCTTGATGGCGTTGGCGGTCATCATGCTGATTATGATGGCCCAGTAGACGAGAAGGGTAATTACCCGGCCCAGTGGTGGGGGAGTCATCCAGGAGAACCATGTTGATGGGACGTAGAGTTGGGGGTAGCTGGATTCGCGGATGAGGGCGGTTAGGGTGGCCCATATTTCGAGAAATTGGTTGCTGGGCTTTGTTGGGTATTGGACTGAGTTGGCGAAGCGTTTTTGTAGTCTGGTGAAAAGGCTTAGTGAGTACTATGTTGATAAGGGAAAGGGGTAAGGGGAGTGAGTATATAAACAAACCTTGAGCGTGCTTTGTAGAGGTTCACCAGTCGAATCAGTGCCCGGAAACCTAGCACGGCGACGACGATGTACCAGAAGTCATGGGCTAGGCCCATGTTTGTTGTCTGAAAGGAATCCGGGCCTCCCATCGACATGTGGTGGCCATCATGTCTGCGCTCTATCGTCGTCTCCATGTTGTTGATCTAGTGACTGCCAACCAGGCAGCGGCTTTGCTGAATGTTTTTTTTTCTCAATCCACAGCTTTCTTTCGTATTGGCGTGATCCTATGTTTGGCGCAATTCTCACTTCCGGTTTTATGACGCTTTATGATGAATTTCGCAAAGCGGTTAATCGTTTATTTCATGGTTCGTATTAGCGCTATAATGCCGATAGAGTTCCTGGACAGTTTGACCGTTTGGACAAATTCGCCAGTCTGTGATAGAATGGAATAATGAGAAACCGAAGAATTAACAAAGATTGATCAGAAAAACCGACCAGCAGTATTGAATGCAAATTTGAATCCAAAATAGGGAATGTCAGACGGGCGATTGGGCATTTGTCAAGATGGAGTGGGGGTCGGGTCGTAGGTCCCCTGATGGATGAGCAAGTTTCTTGGGTAAGAAAGGTCGTGCGAGGCTGGAAGGTGCGCCACACGGCAATACCAAGAACTCGAAAGGCTGTTTAACCTTGGGGGGGCTTTCTATCTCCTATGCATCATCCATTTGACTATTCTTTAAAGTCCAAGAAATTGACAATGCTGGATGTCCTCGATGTCGTAAATAACTGAAGAGGCCAAGAGAAGACCAGACGAACTGCTAGTATCGAACCCAACGTCACATTGGGAGCCGCCTTTCGCCACGGGATGGAGGAGGCTAGACCGCGGAGAAGTCGGTGAAAGAAGAAGCTGAAGCTGACAATGGGATTCTGGAATGCGTGATATAGGGTAGCCCTTTGTATTTGGTTACGAGGGCCGCGTCCTCGTGTGAAAATGTTTCTCGAACTCAAAATGTCTCATCTGTGGTGAATTTGACTCGTCCTCGATCCTGCAATGATCCGAAGCGGTGCAAAACGGCAAAGACCTCGATGTCGAAGTCGTGAAATGTGATTGGGAAAAAGAAAGATGAGAAAGAGCAAGTTGTTACTGGCTCGACATGGTTCGATGGATCGATGGATGGACCCTGTCGGCAGCTCGGGCGCGCTAGTGGGGCCACAACTTGCTCAAACCCACTCGCGAATCTCACGCTTTACCAACAGAGGCTTAGCGGCTTGCCATTTATACAGCCCAAAAGGGTTAAGCGTGTTAGCATTTACAGCACTGCAACCCCACCTTGGAGCTTGTTATCCCACTTGTTCAATTCAACAACATCGACACCTTTTTGGACGACAGACAACAGGCCAAGCAGAGGGCTTTGCTCGACATCTTTTGGTGAGGCACGAACAGGTGTCCAAAGGAACGGGAGAGTGGAATGGAAAGAATGCGGCTCAGCTAAGGTAGCACAAGTTACATGCCCTTGCCTCTTTGGTGCAACTCGAACCTTTTCCTTTGGCCGGAGACGGAAACATCGTGTCCATGTTTGCGCAAGTTTGTGGAGCAAGACACCTCATCCAGCCGATCAACAGGCACAGCATGCGGTGAGTCTCGGACGGATACCTCTACTCAGATCCATTTCGAACGAAACTCGAGTGGCACAGCTCGTGTTTGCATTGCGATAGCTCAGTCCCTGAACCCGATATCCATCTTTGTGCTCTAGAAATGAACCAAAGAAAGCTGCCATCGTGGAGGTCAAACACCGAACCCAAAACGTGGTTCCCGAAGGGGTGGATGAGCGGTGGTGCCTGAAGTCGCCGCATGGTTTTTTATTTCCCATCCCGTCTTGTTCTAGATCCAATGTAATTCCATAGGTTGAAACAGGTAACAAGAAAGCAGGATCGAATCGTTCGTTTCCATTTTCCAAGCATCCCGTGGTATTGGACCCTTCCAGCCTTCCACTCAGCCTGCCTGGATCTTGCATCCTGTCTGTCGTCCCTTGTCTGCCTGCATCCGTCCCGTTGTGCCTGGCCCGCAGCCCCCCTACTCACAGCTCTTTCTTTATCTACCTTACCTGCAGCACCCTCCTCCCCTCTTCCGCTTCTTTTTTCTCTTCTTTTTTTTCGGCACTTTTGACAACTCTCTCAGTCTCGACTCTCCGGATAATTGCCTATCTCTCAACACTCGGCATAACATCACATCCGTCTACCAAAGTACCTTGGCCCGAGTCGGACAAGTACCTTGTCAATTTGTCGCATACGGAAACTGACATCTTCCTTCCATTCTCTCCACCACAATTATCAACAACAGCCAAGGACACGCCACCATCTACAACTACCGACCAAACAAAACCATCCCGACAAAACCGCAACCATGCGCTCCCTAACCCTCCTCACCACCCTGGCCACCACCCTCACAGCCGTCAACGCCCACTTCACAATCAACTACCCCCCCTCCCTCGAAGGTTCCTCCATTGACGAATCCAAAGAAGGCAACGCCCCCTGCGGCGCCATCGTGCCCTCGCTCTCCTCCACCGACTCCAAGATCACCGTGACCGATTTCCACGTCGACGGCGACTTTATTTCCCTGCACTCGGGCCATCCCCAGTATAACTGGCTTTTCCGTGCCTCGGTGCAAGAAGTCGGCGAGGGTAACTGGACGCAGCTGTACCCAATTGTCCAGCAGAGTGGACTGGGTGATTTGTGCAGCCAGAAGGTGACGGCGCCCAAGGGGTGGGTGGGCAAGAAGGGCGTTGTGGGCGTGGTGGGTGGGTCAGGGGATGGGACTTTGTTCCAGGTACGTGATTTCTTTCTAACGCAGGTGTGATGGATGGATGGGAAGAGGAGAAGGATTAGATGCTAACATATGGGGCAACAAAAACAGTGCGCAATCGTCAACTTCGTTGAGGGAACCAACTCCAACACCCCAAGCGCATGCACCAACAGCACCGGAGTTACGGCGGATTATACCAATGATGCTGAGCTGAGCAAGTTGGTCGGAGAGCACGTCGAAACGCCGGCTCCTTCGGGTGATGATGGGAAGGAGAGTGCTGGTGTCGTCGTCCGCGGAGGAGGGCTTGTCGCGCTCGGTGCGGCGGTTGTTGCTGGTGTTATGATGCTTTGAGTCTGGGGATCATGAGAGTCAGTTCCATACAAGAAGGTCTGTGAACATGGCGTATGAAGCAGCGTAGACAGTGTACAAAGGTATGGCTATGATAATATGATCGTTTAATGACCACATTTTGACTATATTTCACTGGTGATGATTGGAACGAGCACCGGAGACAGCTTACAGATCCGGGGTCCAGTGACCGACCCGTCGGCTGTCGCCGCGTCACTTTCCCATTGCTCCTGCTCTTATAAGGCCTTGCCATTTGACACCATGGGACTGAGCCAGCCATTGACGGTATCTTCTTGAACGTGTGTCCTTCTGACTGACGACCCATAGTTCGTTCTTCTGTCCATCTATCTGCCCAAGATTCCTTTGCTTTGCTTTGCCTTCAATTGTGATCGTGAGCCACGTCTTTGTTTGTTTGCAAGCAGTTGATCAAAAGAAAAAAAAAGGAATTGCGTGAGTGAATACAAAAACAGGTGACTGTTTACATCATGATTCCGGACATTGGACCTTGGACATTTATTTGGCAGGCATAAATAAATAAATAAATAAAAAAATTAATTTTTTTGGACCAAGGCAGAGAGGAGACATGAATGAAAGAAAGCTTGCTTGCTTGCTTGGCTGCCCGAATCTGAGGTCTGAAGCCACGGTATTTCTGATTGAAAGTATTTCTGATTGAAAGTATTTCTGATTGAAAGTTATCTCCACTCTTCCTTGTATGATTTGAAAATTCAATTCCTAACATGTCTGTCTACCTGCTAGGTATATATTTCTCAGGAGTCCCCTTTGTGACTTAAAACATGATAATTTTTTTGGTCACAACTTCAATAACATCAATCAACTCGTACAGTTGGTGTGTTTTTGTTTTTGTTTTTGTTTTTGTTGAAGGATAAAAGGTACGTATGGTATGGTAAAGCCCAGTGTTTTTTATTTTATTTTTATTTTGTTTTCTGCAGTAAAGAACCAATAACCTTTTGTGTCAGTTATTGGGTTTTATACCATTTGTTACTCAGCTATGGCGCTGATTGATCATCGAGACCAAAACTCGTGTAAGATGAACTCCTAGTTGTTTACCAGCTATAGCCATTCTGTTGTTTGGTGGTTGGAAGCCTCTCAATTCCTTCCGGGTGTTTTCTCATGTGGATGTCCCAGGGTGCATCGTCAACGGAAGGTCGGCAAGAATAGCGAGTTTTGTTGTTAAGGTCCTAACTGTTAAATCTGTTCATTATTATACTCATGCTCTCATGCTTTCATGTCAAATGCGACTTCCGTATCCAAAAACATTAACATCAGTATTCAAGTACCACAAAGCGGAGTTGAAAAGATTCAGTTCCTAGGTAATTATATCTCCCTCAAAACTTATTACATCCTCCACGTCCTTCACACTCCAAGTGTCCAACCCTTTCGTCGTAAAACATTCCATCGTATCAAACAGAAACTCGAACAGATTCCAAAACTGAAAGCAACGAACAGAACCAGCTAACACCGGATTACTCCAAACAGTAGGTAGGTTGTACATGTACAAAGGACATGATAGATAGTACAAATGGTAGATGTACAAGGACGACCACTTTAGATCATCAAAGCCCTTTAGGCAGTGGGAAGGCCAGCGGGAGTTTCGCAGACGAGGGCCTGGCCGAGCTGTAGGCAAAAGAAATTAAAAAAAATTCAGTAAACAGGTTCATTAAGCTCCTTTTCATAGAGTGGTGAACTTACAATAGGCAACAGGCAGCAGCGAGCACGCTGGCCGATGTCGGAGCAGGTAGCCTGGAACTGGACGGCGCTGGTGAGGGTTGCGGGGGCTGTGATTTATTTAGTATGGTATGGTATGGTATGGTATGGTATGGCATGATACAGTTTCTTGTTGTGCGAGTTGTGTGTGAGTTGCTACTAATAATCAGGATAGGTATTGTACTTACGGTTGGCGCAGTCGAGATCAGCGAGGCCGAGGATGTCGGTAGCGCAGCACTGGGCGGTGCCGTAGAGGCCGGTGCAAGCGGTGTAAGGGACCTGACGCTCGACGACCGCGGCGGGAGCGGCGAGAGCGACGGTGAGGAGGGAGAGAACGGTGGCGATGGTGAACTGCATTTTGATGGTTTTGGTTGTGGTTTGTGTTTTGGGTTTTGGTTGGTGAAGTAGTTGGTTTGGTAGGTAAAGTTGCTTGTTGAGTGTTGGTTGTTGAGCTGATGATGATGATGAGAAGAAGATTTGGAGAGAAGCGAGAGGTTGTCGTCCCTTCTTATACACGACTCTTGAGGCTCATGAGGGAGGAGACAAGAGGGTGTTGACGTCGTCAACTTTCCACCTTTGGAGTTGGGTTACCTCCCGTCCGTTCCTGAATCCAGCCGCACAGCATTACCAACACCATGGCGCCGACTCCAGAGATGCCATGATTTCTCGCATGCCTAGCCCGTTGACAGCGTGGTAGTCTATCCCTAGCCTACCATGTGCGAGTGTCTCATGCCGTCCTGTTTTTTCGAGTGTCTTGATACGTCGAGCCTCCTAGTGACGAAGTCACTGCCCGTTGAGAAGTTGCGATCAGACCCTGAGATTACAACATTGAGTCCATGCCGTCTATGCCTACTGCCTGGTTGAGAGTTGTCTTGCAATGTCTCGTCAATATCGGTGAAACACATAACGGCTATAATGCTACGTCATTAACAATAGGTGCTCAGCAATAGTCTTGAGCCGCCTACACTCGGGAACCACGAACTGTTTCGCTTATTTTCCAAGGCAAATCTTGAGGGTAGCCGACGATCTCTCTAAACTCCGGGGCTTGTGTAGAGGTTGGACGGTGAATCTTTGCCAGAAAGCACCTGATTAGGCATGTTGCCCCTTGCATGGAGGAGAAATAGATTAAACCGACGTCTTGTGTCTGCAAGTTTTCTTGCTTTTCCCCCGGGGGTCCGGGAGCTGGGTTGGCGGGTCATTGGTTCTCGGCAGCTGGGGGAACACGAATGGAGGCTCAAGGGTTTTGCAAGGGACAGCAACGGTGTTGCATTGAGGCGTCGGTCCAGCTTCTCAGGGGAGGCTTTCTTACCTAACCGACCCTACACCACCGCGTTTCTGGAAGGCTATGACATCGATTCTATAGCATGAGGGTGCTATAGAATATCTGGGAGAGTCGCGGAACGGTCCTTTTAGACGTCATACACATGGCTGTGTCGTGGTTCTCTAGTAGCCCAGACGGATTCAGGTGCCGCGATATTGTTATTGGATAATAACTCATCTTTGTTTTCTTGCTTTTCATCAACTCATGATTGAGTTTTTGCCCTGCGGTGTAGTATCAGCAAGGGATGTTGACCGTGCGCTGACTGGCACTAGGTACGCCGGTGTGTACGCCAAGGATCACGGTGAATGAGATCTGCCGTGAAAACTTCCTCGTATGGACTGGACTGCGGACAGTTGTTGATTCGCATAACGGGCCGGAAATAAGAAACGTGGAAATCGCGAGGCAGGCTGCTTGCTGGTCAAGATCTGGTGGATGCAGCGGCATCCGAAGGTCAACAATCGCTCATCTTATCCGGTCCATATTCCTGGCTGTGTCCGATCGAGCGGATCATTCGGCGGCAACTTGGAGAAGTCGACGAGAAGTTGGTTCGATAAACAGCATGTTCATTGGCATCATCAGTCGTGCTAACATCGAGGCATTGATAAATGTAGTGGCTGGTGGATAGAGGTGTATCGGTGGCAGGTATTAGCCGTGCCTATCAGTGAAATCCGAAGCAAGGTCTGGCCATCGTGGAAGATTCATGGGACGGCGAAGTGCCAGCGGAGCTTGGTGTGAGCGAGATGAAAATCAAAGGTATCCCAGAGTGCCAAGCTAATGCAGGAACATGAGACAGGAGTGGGTCCTAGCAAAGTAAGTGATACTGCACTATTGGTTTTGCTACTGACATTCGCCGAGTAGTTGTTAGTATCACAACTGCAGCCCAACCTTTGCACACATGGGAGATACGGAGACGCACGATTGACCGCGATGGCCAAAGTCCAAGACGAATTGAAAGCGAAAGAGGAAATTGAGCCCGACGATTGTCTTGGAAACAAATAAAACGTATGATCCATGCATCTGCTTCCAAATGCGAACAATCCCAGGCCCGGATGGGCGTTCGTCCGTTGAGTGTTTGCGTTGCTCGAGAAGGACCGACGAAGAAGCAACAAACCACCAGGTCATGGCCACTCCCCCAGAACTGGGCCTCACCAAATCCTTTTTCTAGTTGTGCTTTATCTCCCGAGTAACTTTGGCTCTCCTCACCAGTCTCTTTAGGTGAGAGGGGAGAAAGATGTCTGGTAAAATGATAGACCTTTAGAGTCGAGATTTTATTAAGCAACCACTGAAGCTGCGATCAATGACAAGCGGGCGGCACCTTCAAGCCGGCAGTAGCTCGCCAAGTTACGGCGGGGTTACCCATGCCCTCCCCGCACTTGTTCCTTTTATCCACTGCATTTCATGCTTATAATTGGCTGTTCTGCCTGCCGGTCTTCCATACCCCACAATATTCGGTACGTACCTTGGGCAGACACAGCTCGACAAGCACCAAAGTCCAACGTCATGACGACAGAAGTTGAGTCTTGACGACTTTTCCCGATCAACACACAACACATGGAACCGTCAAGCACGCCTAATCGTCCAGACAATCAGCGCATTCATCGGATCAACACCAGAATCCAGGAACGCTCCCGTCCATGGTTCGGAATGCCTCCGTTTGCAACTGCCTTGGTTCCTGACTGAAGGCAATCATCTATTGATTCGCATCCATCGTTCTCGCATTGCCTGACATAGCGCATAGCATACCTTAATTCCTAACGCCGTTATTCCCCAGGATCAGGATCACCAGGCTGGTCACCGATCAGCATCATCCCCCTCCTATCTTATCCCTAATACCACAATTCTATTCTTGTCCTATCCCTTGCTTCCGTGCCTCCGTTCCGTGTCTCATCCCAAAATGGCCGACTCCCGCTACATGACGCTCTCCGACCCCTCCTCCCTCCTCAAACTCTCCTCAGAAAGCACCTCCCAATACCTCTCCTCCGCCCTCGAAGACATCGTCGCCAACTATCCTCCTCGCTCGCGCTACTCGCACGAGCACCTCCAAGGCCTATGGAGCGGTCCGACGGGCATCGCCCTCCTGATGCTGCAGATCTCAGCCCGCCAACCTGCCCTGCTGGTTAGCGGCCAGACAGCCCATCACTGGGCGAAGGCGTACATCTCGGGCAGTCGCGGGCATAACCTCCGTCTTGGGTCGCGCGGGTGCGGGATTTATGACGAGAAGCTTGCCTTTGAAGCTGTGCGCGCCGCCATTTTCAACGATGACACGACGCATGTGAGGACGTTCGTCTCCTGCGTCAGCCAGATCCTCGAGGTGGAGGAGTACCCGGATGAAATCCTTTACGGTCGAGCAGGCACTTTATATCTCCTGCGCTTGGTCCGCCATTGGGTTCCGGAAAGTAATAAGCTTGTTGACCCGGCTATCGCTGAGATCACCAATACCATTCTCAACCGCGGACCGAACTGGACGTGGCATGATAAGCGCTACTTGGGCGCTGTTCATGGGGATATCGGCATCTTGACGCAAGTCGTCTTGACAAGCCCCGAGACTGCTCCCCAGCTGGAACCGGTCCTGGATAGGCTCCTGAGGTTACAGCATCCGGCTGGGAACTGGCCTAGCTCGGAACATCATGCGCATACCGGCAAAGGTCTGGTGCAGTTCTGTCATGGCGCGCCGGGCTTTGTCGTGTCGCTGCTGTCGCTGCGCCAACACTTTCCGAAGCTGGAAGACAAGATTGACGCGGCGATTCGCTTGGGTCGCGAATGCATATGGGTGGAGGGGCTGTTGAAGAAGGAGCCTAGTCTGTGTCATGGGATCTTTGGGAATGCCTTGTGAGTCGCACCCAGTTTATCCATCCCGTCAGACATTCCCATCCGTGGAGAGTGGTCTCTACAACACTTTTTTCGGCCTTTTACTCGCGCCACCTTTCAACTTTCTTAGGGAGTGTTTTCTGCAACACTTTTTCTCAGCGCCCTTTCGACCTCTCAAATCTTGTTCAATCTTCAAGTCAAGTCGATACTAACACACATCATCACACAACAGGGCACTTCCAAAAGGTCCCCAGCGCCAACACTTCCTCGCCGTCGCAACGCCCGAGAACGTCGCCAACATGAAGAAATCCGATCACACAGGCACCATCTTCGAACGAGCCGACTACGGACGACCCTACTCCACCACAACGAGCTACACACCCAGCGCGGCATGGGCATGGCTGGTGTGCGACGATGAGCATCCCAAGATGCTGGGATACAATGATGTCTAGACACAGATATCGACGGCGGAGGCAGGGAGTTATCTGTCTGCAGCTTAGTTATAGACCCTTGCGTCTTCTGCCCGGACCTGAACTTCTTGCGAACTTCATCACGTCAACTTTTTTGCCATGATCTTCAACATCGGCTCAGGGGGCAGCTGTTCGCATTCTCAGGAGAGGGAGAAAGTTATATACTGGGCTACTCGTTACCAGCCGTATGGAATCCTGCATTTCCCCAGTGCTCTTTCACTTACTTTTGTCTCTATCGTCGCAACCGGTCTGTTGCTGGTCATGGTGCTTCTCATGGCAGAAGGGCTCTTGATGTCGATGTCCTTGGGTGTACAAGAGGGGGAGACCAAAGGCTCTTGCCATCGACCGCACGACTATCACCGAGGATATACGGGTCGCTCTCTACATTTGAGAGGAAGAGATCGAAAACATTTGGAGGGAAAATGATAGGTAACGATTGACGAAGCAAAAGCTCTTATTCAATTTTTTTTTTTTTAAAAAAAATTGGTATTAGATTACTGCAACAATGACGATTACTATTCAACTTCCACCATACTTTCTCCCTTTTTCACAACCGTTGGCTCAAGCGATGAAACGCTTAGTAACGCCACGGGGACCACCCTTCCCGTTGTGTCCCCGAGTCTTGTTGGTCAAAGCCTCGACGACGCCGTCGTAGGCAGGGTGCTTGCTGAAGTCCTCGAACCAGAGAAGGGCGGCGCCCTCGCCCTCGAAAACGAAGGGGACCCAGCTGAAGGGGTCATAGAAATCCCAGATGGTGACACCGATGCATCCGTCGACTTGGACGCATGCTCCGACGACCTGGTTTTAGTCGAAATATTAGCAACTGACCCCCAAATAACATGCGTTTAGGTAGTATGGAAGAAGGTAAAAGGTAAATACTCACATTCTTATACCCCTCCTTCTGCAACGCCAAATTCGTCGCATTCGCCGGCGTCTGCAGCCTCACATCCAACTCGGTCAAGGCAACCTCAACGCCCAATTCCGTGAACCCCTCAATAGCAGCAACATGTTCGTCCAGCGTCGGCCTGTTCTCCGCAATAAGATGTGCCTGCAAGCCAACACCATCAATGCGAATCTTCTTGCTCTGCAAGTGCCTGACCAACTTCCTCACCGCCTCCGTTTTAGGAGAAGGGCTCTCCAAGTTATAATCGTTATAATAAAGCTTGGCCTTGGGATCCAAGCTAAAAGCGGTCTCGAAGGCGAGCTCGATGAACTCGTTGCCTCCCAAGACGGTGGAGAAGACGGACTCCCGGAAGGTGCCGTCCTCGTTGAAGGCCTCGTTGACCACGTCCCAGGCGTAGCACTGGCCCTTGTAGTGGTTCATGACGTTGGTGACGTGGGAGACGATGACGGCACGCAGCTCGTCCTTGGTCCAGTCCTTCTTGGCTTCCACCCAGGGCGCGAGCTGCGAGTGCCAGACCAGGGCGTGGCACCGCAGGAGCTTCTTGTTTTGGGCGGCGAGGGAGGCGACGATGTCACCCTCGGTGAAGTTGAAGGTGCCTTGGGCTGGTTCGGTGAAGAGCCACTGTGCAGCAACTCGGTTAGCATCTTGGCCAGTAGAGTCGGGTGGGCAAAGGGAAAGCGGATGGAGGAAAAAGGGAGAGAGACATACCTTCTGCCCGTTGGTAGGCGTCGTCTGGCCAAACTCGCCTGACTTCCACATGATCTCGTCGTACTTGGCGTAGGCGGACTCATAACCCGCACGCTCGCGCTGGCCGGGCGAGTCGGTGGCCGCGCCGAAGTACTTGAGGCCGGCCTTCTTGGCGTACCAGTCGAGGCCCTTGTGGGAGCAGGACTTTCCGGATCCCTTGCCGTTTCCATTACCGTTGCCGGCCGAGGCCAAGGGGACCGCGGCGAGGGCAAGGAGGGAGAGGATGGAGGAGGTGTGCATGTTGGCGGTTTCTGGTTAGGCCTAGAGGGTGGAGGGCTGACACCGGTGAGAAGGAATTTGAGGGATGGAACTCGACAGGAGAGACGAGGTGAGGAACCAGGAGAGATGTTACCTTGGGGAAGGGGAGGAGGAAAGGCCGTTATAAAGGATCAGGATCAGGAGGACGACATGGAGATATGCAGAGGTGGAGTCAAACCGTCAAGACCGATCACCAAGTCACAAACTATTGCGAGAGAACCCACAGACCTTCATCATATCATCTCCCCATGGGGGAAATGGGGTAGGATGGAGTCGTTAGCTTCATTTCCCCATGCGTGATGGCATGGATGACATGGTTCTGGATGCTACTGAATGGGCTTCTGGATGGGGCCGTGATCCGTCACCCCGGATCTACCGATGTTTCCTTACGAATCGCCAGTGACAAGCACGTTCTTGGAAGGACGTTTGCGGTTCGATTATTCTTCCATTGGCGGTCATGAGTGGCTTGGTTGTGGTCAATGGAGTCCCGGACAGGGGTAACGTCCGGGGTTCGGGAGGGTTAACCGGGTTTGTGGAGCGAGAAGCCGTCGTGTCGAGGAGAAGTCCGAAATACAGTTCGTTTTCGTGGTTCATGATGCTGTGGCTGATGAACCAAGCTCTTGGTTTTTAGGTGTTCTTGCGCGCGAAGGAAACGCCAGCTGAAAACGTGGAAATGCAAGCAACCTATTCAGCCGGACGAACCGAGACTGGACCGCAAGAATGAGAGGTAGCAAGCCACATTGGCGAAGACGGATCGCGGATGATGTTTCCACCTCGCCTCTTCCCTTCTCTTGTCTATACTTCTCCTCACCAGCACGCTCACGGTTCACCGTGGTGTGAGAGTGTGGTTACGCAATGCCTCTCGCGATCTTGAGGTTCACGACCGGGACAAGCCACAACCGACCGAACCGACCACTCGGCAACGACCTTATTCTAGCGTTTACGAACAAGAGCTAAGACGGTTAAATCCTCCTCATTTTTGCCGGAATAATAGCCTGCGGTTGTGCATGCAACCCTCTTGGCGTGGCCATCGACCAATTGGTTGACGATGCGGGGGAATAAGTGGCAAGGGGGAATAATATCCGGACTTGGATATTGATCTGGGCGCGCTGTTCAGGAGGCTGACGGGGGAGATTAGTAAGAAATGGAGAAGAGAAGGTTCGTGATGATGTCGTCCATGAGTTGAACTTTGCTTTGTCTCGGGCTGAAGGATGTCACGACGATGGGAGACGGATAAGCATTGATCCGGCGCTTGATGCTGGCCGACGGAAAACATTTGGTGTTGAGGGAGGCCGTTTGACTTCCGAGAACTTTCGGAATGCAAACGAGACGCCTGTTTTATTTCTGCCGAGCTGCTTCTTCTAGCCACAAAACCAGACTCTCGCGGCACTTGACTGACAGCCACTGCAGGCCCGACCACCATTGAACACCGCTTGCCGACCATTCGGCATGATCAACATGTGTCGAAACGTTCACTGAACAACTGTACGCGCACTGACGGACCATGCCATTCGGGCTTCAATATTAAAAGCAGCTTTGGGAATATCCTCACAGTGGACAGGAAGAATACCTTTATCAGATCAGGGCACTACATCAGGTCAGAAATGGGCCGGCCGCTAGGAGAGGACAGTATTGTCCAGAACCATAGCTGCGACTTGGGCCCAGAGGAACTGGGAAAGTGAGTAGAGGTAGTGTGAGATTACGAACAATAATAGCAAATCGATAGATGTGGTGGATTGATAATGCTACAGAGAAGAGAGGAGAGCGAAAGGTCTAGGAGTTTAGAAACGGTAGGTAAGTTAGGGTACGAGTAGGGCCTACAGTGAATGGTATAGGTATACTAAGAGTGCCGTGACTGGGACCCACCAACAGGTAGGATGTCAATCTGGACCTCACCTCTCAGACCGCAACGATTGTTGTTTCGTGTCGAAGTGGGACTTCAAATCGCCATGCTCCTCAACATAGGCAAACTCCGATCGCCATTTGCAAACCCAATTCGAGGTCAAAAAATGCAAACATCGCATGGCTCAAATCTCCAGCCATTATGCTATTCGATAAAAAAAAGCAAAAAGCTAAGCCGCCCTGTTAAGCTTGCGGAACGAATCTCAATTCTCCAGTCAGCGACGTACGAAAACTGTACCACGGGATACCGCGCACCCGGCAATGTTTTCATCAACGGGAACCACTCGGCGATGGGGCCAGTGGGCTCTCATTGTGGTATTGGAACTTGAGACGACAGCTTATATGCCCGCTGGTGCCTGGGGTGCAGGGCGACAGTGAATAGGAGGAGGGGCAGAAGGTAGGTATTGGATGAAAAGAGGGGGAGGTACACCTGCCGGCCGGCTTGGAATGGATCGTGGGCAGGCACGCGGCTTTGGATGGTCAAGAGTATGGCAGCAAGTGTTTCTCTCACCTTGACACCGGGGGCTTCTGCCAGAGTCGATCACAACTTTCCTGAGATAGGATCGAGACATAACCGCACGCCGTAGGTCAGCCAGTCTGGAAGCACGTTGGACCACAGGCATGGTAAAGGGGTAACAGCAACTGGGTACTCCTCAGAGCGCGATGTGGTCATGACCTTTACCACTTCATGATTCGTCTCAATTGCCGATATGACATTGAGTCACCACACCTACTCGCCCATACGAAACTTTGGGACTTCCAGGCGCGATACTGTCTCGTGGGTTCCGGCGGCGGTAGGGCGAACAATAGCCAAATTTGCTGTGGCTGTTCGAGAATATATCTTCATGTGGAACGTAAGAGCGGACCATGTCGTCTACAAGAATTACATGATAATGGCGATCTGAGGAAAGGGGCAAGCAGTTCATGGATGTCCAGATCTGCTGCTCATCCATTTTTGCTGGTGAAGGAAGGACGGGAAGAAGGAAGTTTGGCACATTATGGGAAATCCACTGTCTTTCAGTAAGATGATGTGCGCTTTCTTCGCTCTTTGGGGTTTGATAAACGTTGAGGTGTTCGCAACTTCCGCGCTGGCACATCGTCAACCACAAAGGGAAGGGACCACCACAACTGCACCGAGGCAATGCGAACACAATCCCACGTGACTTCAATTTAATGCAGCGACATCTCGACACCCGTGGCTTCATCAGGAAAGTGCACAGCGATGGCAAGCACAGAGGGAAAGTACGAGCCAACAGTGTCAATCCTGGCTTCTCGAGTTCCATGGCAATCTCTCTGTGCTCCATCCTTCCTCGCCATGTTTGCAGACATAAAACTACTGAGCACATGCCCGAGCCGACGGTGCCTTCCAATCTTGGGTTGATTCCAGTGACTCCGACGTCAATCCATCTCACCTGCCTGAAGCACAAATGCCCGCAACAGGAAATGAGTTGCCCTAGAGGTACCAGGTACTTTCCCATCGCTTGTTGGGCGCAGCTTCCGTGTCTCAATGAGGCCAGGACTTGCGAGGAATATAGCCTTGGAAGTTGGGCCGGCTGGTTATGCCACTGCCGGAAATTTTCTTAGACTGACTTCGCAACACAAATCTTCGCAAGTCTCCACGTCATGACTTGTGGCCTGGTGCCCGTAGCCTGGTGCGCGACATGTATCGCCGGTTACCTGCCATCCACATCGCAATCACTGGATTTTCCTCGGGATCCAGCTTCGCGCGATGATATATCCAACTGCCACAAGCGACCTGGCTGCCAGTCCCTGATCACAATTGTCGTCAATCCGCCTTCGATTCATCATCAACCTTTTAATGTGCCACCGAAGGCCAGTCCAAGGCACGGTGTCCCAGATAGCAGCTGATCAGCTCTGCGAAGTGCCCCAACGGAATTGACCAGCCCTCACCTTCGAAGACGAGGTTGAAGGAGGAGTGAGTGACGGGTAAGTTTTGTCCAAGTGAAAAAGTCCGGGACTACGGCCTCTTATATAGTGTACCCTCTCCTTCTCTGACAGTCTTGTATCTACGCAGGTCAAACTCCGAGCATAGTTAAACTCCGAGCATAATGGTGCATCAGGCCAACCGTCCGAGACCGTCATTCATCGCTTCCGACAAGTCTCATCGGGCTTCACACCATTCCAAATTGCATCCACACCCTCACCGGACGGGCACTCGGTCTCGGAAATTATTTGCAAGCAGCCTGCATCACCTAGCACACGACACAGCGTACAGCAGCGCGCATCTTTTGCCATGAAGGGCTTGGTTCGGTCCTCAAGGCACATGTTTCCGTCGTAGTCCGGCGGCAATGCAACATACCACATCTCTTGACGCCTCCCAGACCCTTCTTGTCGAGTCCTGCGAAATTACAACCTCTGTGAACGTGCTTTCCCCCCTGAGCACATGCATCTGACAGACTCGTATATGTCGGGCTGGATGAGTGTGAATGAGTCGAGACCGCGTAGAGCGGACAGGGACAGAGATTGGGGATGGGCAGACTCGCGACGTGATACTCGACTTCCATCGAAGGATTCCGCGTCTGACAAGGATACACCAATGCCCCTAGAACTCGGCCTTGCTTGTTCCACGCCTCGACCCGGCACGTCTGAGAGCTATCAGCCTTCAGTGAAAATACGCTTGACGGTTACTACTGCCGCAAATACGAATGGAACCCTGATCAGATCGACGATGGGAAATACAAAAAAAGCCAGCAGGATCCTCTGCATTCCGGAACCACCCAACTGGTACCATCTACACCAACAGCGGAAGGAGACAAGCAGATCTCCAGCGGCAGCTCCTCGCAGGAATATGGATTCCAGCGCGAGTTACAAGGAGATAGGGCTGTTGTTGGGTTGCATCTGGGATGTCAAGGTCGACTCAAGTTGTTGAAGACACCAAAAAAAGTGACTAGTGTGAGTTATGCCGAGCAGCACAGGAAGAACTTGGAAAGAATAATCATACTTCACGCCAAAAGGACGTCTTGAGGTAAGAGTAAACGAGGTATTGGCGAGTGACAGAGGAGTTTCTCCGTTCTAACCGCCCGCTTCCCTTTTCCAGATCACAACTGCACGGTTCAGGGGATGCTGGAAGAAAACTTCAGGTTCAATATCGAACCCTGCTTGCCACTGCAATCTTACCAGAGATCAATGGTGAGCCAATATATGAAGTCATCGCCATGATAACCACCAGACGTGCTCGATCTCGCATCTTCACATGGGACCTAGGGACAACCCGAGAATGTTATACAGTTGGAGGAGGACAGAGCGACGTTCCCTTTCTCACCGATCCCACCCACACGTTTTGCTCCTTTCCAGCATTTCTGTCCAATCTGCTCAATCCTTTCCGAGCTGTCAACCACAAGAAAAGAACCAAGGAAACTCCCAACCCTCCATCACCATCACGGCTTGCCAAGCCACACTCGAACCAATCTCTTTTCGATCAAGCCCCTGCGTCCCCCTGGCACAGTACTAATGCACCCCGCCTTTGGGCGTCTCTCGGCGTTCTGGGCATTCGTCCTTCCAGCAAAGCTTTCTTCTGCAACCTCGTGAGCCTCGTGAGCTGAGAAGAGAAAGTTGGGGAAACCTGTTGCTGACCTCGACCCATGAGGCCTGAATTGGTCAATGCCATTGTTTCTTGGGCGTCTTGGAAAGAAGTTGCAGAGGCTTCATTACTGTCAATTCCTTTGTACACCTTTCGAATCAAACTGCCACTTCCTTCGTACACTTCTCGAATCATGAGAACATAATGGGCCCGAAGGGCAGACGGTGAAAAACCCAACAACCATTTCCATCAGCCAGGCGATGGTCAGCAAGACAATCCTTCCCTTTTTACTGTTTTGGGTTTTGCTGACTTGTCGACTCTATTCAACTTCGCCAAGACCTCGCAACGGCGTTCCAGGTAGAATTGGGATAGCAACGCCGAAGCTATTAACTAGCTCCGGGGAAGTCAAATCCTACATGAACGGCCCGTCGTGCGGGGAACTTGGCAAGTCAGCGCACAGCAGGCGGCAGCTCCCACTTCCCGTTTGCTAACGTCATGTCATGAGAATTGATGGGATTTGTGACAGTGACCGAAAATCGGACAGGGCAAAGGCTTGACGGAAGCCGTTCTTATCCGAACACCATGAGTTGAAAGGCCAAGGCGTTTGGTCTTCCTTGGTTTTCCCGCCGTTACTAAACCTAATTGCTAGTGAGACCCGCGAGGACTTCCCCGGGGAAGCGATCACGGAAATGATGGCAGGTCCTGTTACGAAAGATTTAGAGAAAAGAGGTTCCTGACAAGATTTCAAGGAATGGATTTCTCATCACGAACATCTCACCGGTGGCTGACAGGCAGGCACAGTACGCTCAGCACATACGAGCATTGGCGAGAGGGGGGTTGGGGAAGTTCGATTTAGCACTGTTGGAGACGAAGACTTGTTGCCGAGGAAGAGGCAACGTCAGAACCTTTGACATCTGATCGTCAGGGTGACTCCGATCGGGAAGGAAAAGCAAAAAAGAGCATGCAACGTTGGAGAGGAACAGCGAGAGGATTGGGCAGAAAGGGAAGAGGTACGTACACTGTCTGCGCTGGTCTTGCGCCTATGGACGACCTCTTGTCTGTCTGAAGAAAGGGGAATTAACAGCGTCAATGGCTGCTTCGACGATCGAGATGACTTGCTCTTTTTACTGGCGGTGTGTGTCCCTGATGTTCCTGAATGATCTGATCCGATCTCTCGGGACGTTGAACCCTTACTGCGGAAAGCTGCAACACCATCCAGCTTTTGAAACCTTTGACAGCTGCATCTAGATGATCACGAACAATCACGACATGTTCTGGAGAAAGGCAACCTAGAAGATCACTTTCCAGGTTTCCCCAGGTTTTCCAGCGCTTTGTGCTTGCGGAATCGTCGCAACCCAAGATCCTTGGGCGGGTAGGTGGGCCCATCCTCCCAAACTCCATTTTCATGCCCTAACAGCCCCCGGAAAACGGCGGATCGTCAACACTTCACCGTCACATCGTATTGATGAGACCCCTGGACCTGATCGACACTTCTCCGCAAGACACTGTGGCCGAAGCGAAGCTATTCCCGAGGAGTCTAAACTTGGTGGATGCCTTGTCTATCACGACCTCCTCTGGGTAACCAGATCGATGACTTTCTTGTCATGGTATTTGAGAGAAAAGGAAGAGACGAGGGAAAACATTCGATCAAGGCAATGAGGATTCATCACTGCAATGTGATACATGACAGACAGGTCAAAGGCCTTTTGTGTGCTGCCTCGAAGAAAACCATAAAACGGAACAACAAAACATCACCGACCTTTCCGTATTCAAAAGTTGGGCTGAGAGGAGAAGTCGAAAAAGAGCAGGCCTCTTGACCATCGAAGCTGGAAAAGTTGGCCATGAACGACCAACAACCCAACGCTATACTGAAGAGGGAAGACAAAAGATGGGGAATCGTGTCATTGTGGCCTTGATATGTTTAACGAAAGCGACCTAGCCTCGCATGTGTGGTTGCACGGGAATAACGATCAATACGGTGCGGCTCTGATTCGCTAGGTTCCTGCATCAGCTTCCATCTTTGGCAAGGGACGAGGATGAAAAGAGGATGGGAAAGAAAAGAAAAGAAAGAGAGTTCAACAACAAACCCCTGTCCATCTCATCCTCATCCGTCCCTCCCACAACCCGAGCTCTCTGCCTTGCTGTCCACACACACACAGCTATCACATTGTCTTTTCTGGAGACATGAGCAAGGGACTAGCCAATCGCAGACCAAATTGCCGGTGCCTATACTCCAGATTGGGATAGGTCCTTCTCATCATCAGGCCATCAAGCCTCCAATAGCGCCTGTCATCCCAGATCTTGACCGACACCCTGTACTGTGAGGAGCAGTGTGAGGGAAACGAGGAGGAGGCGAGAGAGCCAGCCCACGACCATGCAGCCCGCAGTGTCACTCGAGCTTGGCACTATCATATGGGCTTGTTCAGCACATGTTGTCCGAGGTAGTGATGCCGGTGGTGGTAGTGGTGTCCCCCGGATTGCGGCTCCTTCAGTCGGAGAAGGGGGAAACTGGAAAATAAATAAAGATGTGAAGACATCCCCACTGATGTTACTTCCCTTTCCCTTTTCTCTCCTCACCCTCGACCCAACCTTCCCGCTAGTACATCATTTCCCTCGTTTTTAACGATGGTGTACTCAGTCCCCCGAAAGGCGGCCGGCCTCATGCTGGCTGTCGCCGGGGCTCGAGTTCTCGCCACTGACTGCGGTCTCGATTCCTGGGAGTGTGCTCCCTCCTACTCGGCCGTCCCGCCTCGCCACCGCTGCCATCGAATCGGCCGCCCTCGTGGCTGGTTGCCCCCATGGCGACTATAAGTGCGAGTGCTCTAAGAAGGAAGAGCTTCAAGGCATGATTTTCGACGAGGTCGTTGCCAACTGTGGTCTGCTCGGCGGCCTCGATGTTGTAAAGGCCGTCTCCTACCTTTGCGACTGCGACGCTACGGCATCCACCTTTACCGCATGCCCGACCGTTGCTCCCAGCTCCACCATCTCCGAACCTCCTGTCATCACCGAGCCTCCCGCCACCCCTACCGACTGTGGCCTCGACTCTTGGGAGTGCGCTCCTCTCTACTCCTCTGTCCCCGCCTGTGCCACTGCTGCCATCGAATCGGCTGCCCTCGAGGCCGGTTGCGCCCACGGCGACTACAAGTGTGAATGCTCCAAGAAGGAGGAGCTCCAGGGTATGATCTTTGACGAGGTTGTTGCCAACTGCGGCCTCCTCGGTGGTCTTGACGTCGTCAAGGCCGTTTCCTATCT